TAGCACAGGACATAAGCGCCACAACATGATGTACGTCAAAGCCTCACATGTGATGCACTTTCCGACTTGTGACGGTGTTTTACTGCAGCAGCAATCCATTGTAAAAACACTCTGGTGTGTCCAAAGTCTGATTCAATTCCTGGAAACCGAGTGACTTCAGCACGAACACGGCAAAAATGTGCTGGCGAAGTCGCTCCAGCGAGACAGCCACTGGAGATGGCTATGAATGGATCTGCAGCTACTTGACTAGCTATGACAGCGACTTGTTGGAACTCGAGCTAGATGTGGATGGCCAGTACTTTTTTGACAACATGGATCTACAGATAACAAGTCCACCTCAGCCAAACGAGGACAATGGAGCGGCATTTCAATTGACACCATTTGTGCTAAGCGTGATATCCGAGTTTCCTTCACATCCAGATATTGCGACACCAGACCCAGAGCTGGTATCGAAGTGCAGTGTATTGGACGAAGCTCAAACGATAACCACTAGAAGCAGAAGCAGGGGTCAACTTGGATCTCATGCTGTACGACACGCAGTGACTACTCCTCGCAAGCGTCGTACTCGCGATTGCTCTGACAAGACCAAAACAACAACATTACCATCTGGAACTTGCATCGTTAGCTGCATGAGACCAAACACTCGCTCGAGCTCGCGAAAGAAGTTCAAGCGCCGCCTTTTCTACTAGCATTGGCAGTAAGAAAATGGTAAGTGTGATGCAGTGAATCACACTCTTCCATTGAATTGTGCCGTAGGACCTGTAAGTGAAACAAAGTAGCGAGCGAGTGATATGAATTCTCAATGTACAGCAAAGTGCAGAGACTTGCAAGCCATAGCGCAGACAAAAGCGAGCGAAATGTATGTGAGACCGGCGGTTTACATACTTGTAAGTTTACAGTGATCATGTTGAATGAGTTGACAAAACAACGTGAAATGTCGTTTGAAAACTAGTTCTCAGCTATCTGCTTTTGCTCCCAGTGTCGAAAAGCTCATAACTTCCTAACCTTGATCCCATTCTTCTCAATCAAACCTGAAGCAGTCAAACGCGATCGACAAGCAATCTCACGAGATAAACATCCTACATGTGATCAAACCAAGTAGAAAGTCCCGACGACAAAAAGGCCAACGACAAAAAGGCCGACGACGAGATGCTGGCACATTAACTGCACGCTTTCGAATGACCTACGAATGAAACACGACCAAGATCGAGTTACCACAGACAAGCCAAACTAGGGTCATCAAACCCATCAGTAGAAATACATCAAGAGTCCCACCGTCATGTACATGAACGATGCTTTGGTGTTCAAGTCGTGCAAAGTGCGACTTGTATTCACGGAAGAAATTGATGTCAAGTGAAGTGTGTTCCACGTTGAAATGTTGAATTGGATGACAAGAAGTTCATCCAGGACATGGGAAGTCGACAGATTCCACTCATTGCTCTCGTGTTACTGTGCACAGCTCAAGTCAGTTTTGTTTCAGTTGTGAATACTGATACCCACGGATGAGCAAGACCAAACGGCATTCCTCACCGTGTCAAACAGACACGTTAACTTCTAAACGAGGTGACCATTTCGCTTCGACAAGTTCTATGTATTCACACCCTCCCACTCACTGATGGTTACCATCATGCGTGTCTCCACAAAACCGCAACAACAAAGACCACCGACGATCGAAAGCGTAAAATTTCGAACATGCACCTGAAATGGAAGCGCAACTAACGGTAAAAGGTACAAAGCATTGCTCAGAAGCTACCGAGCTGATCTATCATGTCGTCACTTTGATGTGCCAGCTCATCTCGAGAGGGAATCACCACCAACGTCTCTTGAGGTCAGCGATCTTTAGTCGCTCACTTTATAATTAACTTTGATCGATCTACACACGAGTGAGTCTCCATCTTCATGAAATACGTCCGACAGCACGCTCACAAGTTTACATGCGGTCGCGTTTCCGGCTACAAAGCCGCCTACACGCTGCCCGTGTTTGTGACGGTGGTGATCATTTCGCTGTGGATCAATACATGCCACTTGCAATGCCTTGGACTTGCACACGTCGTGCTGCTGACGAAATTGGTATTTCTGTTGGCCGTGCACGAATTGCTTCGACCCTTTTGTCTCTCGTTCAGGGACGTCTGTATCTTGACAGCTCATGTTGGTTCAGCAGCTAATGTAGCCATACTGCAGTTCGTCAGACGAGGGTTGCACCCAAAGTTCTTAGAGTGGACAATCTGGTATGAATGGTTCCAGGCCATCGCATTTGCTGCTGGTCAACGGAACGGTGGCCACATTCTAAAGATGCCCAATGCACTAGCATTCCGACGCAATTTCGAACTCATTGGACGGTTGATGGGGGCGTGGGCATGCTTACGTCATGGCAACGAACTTGAGAGCTTCCGTTACAACGGACTTGAGCATCTGTGGTTACGTTCTAGATCCAACAACAAGAAGACAACAAACAACAAGAGACGGATCGTAATGCTGTACTACCACGGTGGGGGGTTACGCTCTGTTTAGTCCACGCTTCTTCGTCGAGTTTGCCAATCGTTTGCTTACTCAGGTCCAGAGCCAACTTCGAGCTGTTTGTCAAGAGTCTGATTCTTCCATGGACGTACAGATCTTGCTGGCGAACTATCGAAAGCTGCCTGAGGTTTGTTTTCCGACGCCTCTAGATGATGCCATGGCCATGTTTGACTATCTTGTGAAACATGAAAAGGTCTCACCTCGAAACATCATTATTGCTGGTGACAGCGCTGGTGGTGGTTTGGTGCTTGCTACACTACTGAGACTACGTCGAACAGGACGCGAGATGCCTCTTGCAGCATTGTGCAGTTGTCCATACGCAGACTTGTCGTCCGACGTTGTCGTGTCAGAGCATTGCTACATTTCCAAGTCCATGTTGGATGCTATCCGAGACTTGTGTGTCCAGACAACTCCGAGGTCTTTGTGGTGTGAAGGTGCCATGTTGCAGACAGATTTACGTGGACTACCTCCGCTGTTCATCCAGACAGCAGAGTTCGACATTTTACACAAACAATCACTCCAACTTGCCAAGAACGCCCAATCTGGTGGTGTGCACGTGGAATTGGACGTTCATGAGCACATGCCTCACGTCTTCACTCTCTTCCCTCACTTCATCATGCCACAGTCGTCGGTGGGTATTGAAAGACTCGCTGCTTTTGTCTTACGGCAGGTAACAGCTTATCAAGTACCTGTCCAACTACCGATGGCAGCTCCAGCATTCTGAGTTTGTGAGTGTTGAAACAGTATTATATCAACAAAGCTAGCAGTTCGTCCTGCATGAGGTAGTGATTACTACAGCCGACTAGCTCTACTTTCAAGAGAGTCATCTTTAACATTCATTTGCCTGTTACAGTCAAGGTATTCGACAACCGTGAAATACCAAAAGCATGTCGTACGCCTTGAGTACATTCTTTGCGATGAACTGGGTGGGCCAGATAGTAATGTATCGATATTATCTGTCACGACAACGAACAAGACAAGAAGCTAGAGCATATCAGTCTGAAAGTGATCACCTTTGTCCAAAGACTGCCGGAGATACGATTAGCAGGATGCATAGCTTACTCCCAGAAAGCAACAAACTTCTGTGGTGTATGTTTCGAAGACCATCCAATGCTGTTGACGCTGTGACGCAACTAGGTCTTGCCCTCCGGGTAGCTATACCGTCAGTTACACGCAGTGAATCTTTGCCTTGCCTTACTCTGTTCTTGCATTTGCCTTTTGAACATCATTCGTCCCTCCTACAGTATACCGCTTCTGATGTGAAAAAAATGGCTAGTTGAACGGCGTACTCTTGCAAAAGCTGCTTCATACGGAGCGTTGAACATGTCAAACGAACCTAAATACATTCATCTCATGCTGTCCGCTTTGTTCTTCTATCAACAAGCATTATCGATGACCATGAGTTCTCCTCGTGATTGTCATGATTTACCCATCGACTTCCTCTAGTTGCACTACCGGCCCAGTCAAGCGCTTGAACCACGTCTTGTTGTGCATTGTAGAAAACTCTTGTGCGTCAAATTCATCTTCCAGAGCACCATAGCTGTCTGCAGTTTCAAGCCAGATACGACATTGCTACAACAGCTCACAATATTCCATTAGCGACGTGTTGGAATGACCAGACCTTAAATTGAGCTTACCGCTTCGTCTTCGAACGCCGGCGATGCATACAAGCAAGCCAGGTAATAACTGCCGAGCTTGTCGTGGAAGTGATGAGCAGTGCGTAATACCTCAACTGCATGCGTGAAGCGGGCGTTTCCAGCCACCTCATGACGCTTTCGCTTTTGTTTTTTCTTCTGTCGTTGACCGGTGTTGTAATCTAAATGTGGAAAGGACCGCACAAATGCTGCTAGACCCTTCCCGAGCGTGTTAAGCAAATGTGGCACCCTTTCGTCAACTTCTTCGTCTTCCAGCTCCTCTTGGTTATGAGTATCCTTACGATGACAGATATAATGACATTCTATCAAATCGAAACCAGCAGCAATCAACAAGCTTTTGTATTCTGCTTCCAGGTTGTCAAACAGCTTGGTCCACTCTTGGACCGTGGGTTTGGCGCCCAAAGTAGTTTTTGCTAAGCACCTTGCAGCTAGATAATTAGTCTTTTCCATCACTGCCTCAGCACTTTCAGGACTTAGCACTTATAGTCACGAGACCAAAACGAACCATACATGTCAGTATAAACAATCACATGAAACCTATCGCATGTCAAACAAACAAAACTCACCACTAGCTTCCTGATAAAGTGTAATGGTCCGACAAAAATCCTCAACACTGCCAGAGTCTTCAAGTAGACCTTGCAGTACTGCTTCCAGCAGCTTCACTTGAGCAAAGTCTTGACTTGTCACCTGATCATCATCATCACTCCCTTCTTGTACCTTATTTTTCTCTAACTCGATTGAATAAATGTCTTGCAACGTGCTACAAACTTGTAAAGCTTTTGCATAGTAATTCCTTCTCTTTCGACCGTCATTTGGTGCAAGAAATGCCATTAACTCACCTCCTTCTTTCAATGCTTTTGCAAATTGAAACCTCGTTTCAAATGTCGTTCCTCCATCCACTTGAATAGCTCGCTCCAACTTTGTAAGCGCTTGATCTAAAACTTGCTCATTCAGTGTCTCGGTTGCAATAATGAGCAATGCTGAGCCCCAGAGTGAGAAACCCACAGGACCTAAAGCTTCATCAATTGCATCTTCTTCAGCAGTATCTTGTTTGTCATGATTTAATTGTATCATCTGTTCAAACTTGTCCACAGCTGCATTTGCTAATATTGGGTCTTCATTTAAGGACGCAAGGCGTGTTAATGCTGTACCCCATAGAAAATAGGCATCTAATTCCTTGGAAATGGGTAGGTTTTCATGATTTTCCAATAACTTTTTTACCCTTTTGCCAATTTGCCACGTTTCTATAACAAATATAGAAACACACACACGATATTTAGAAATCAATGGATACTATGGATAGATTACTTACGCCCACGTGAAAACTATTGCAAATAAATTACGTTTCTGCGATGTCTCTTCTTCTTCAAGCAAGTTGTTGATACTTGAGAGCTCCGCATCAATTTCTTCTTGGTCCGAAAAGTCCCTATCGTTCTGATCAATGGCTGATCGTTTACTGGACGGATGTGTGACTGCATTGTCGTTGGCTCCTCGCTTCCACTTTGGCGTCATTTATTTAAGGTATCAAACTGTTGATGTGTCGGCATATGTAATGTCGCAATAGCTGTACAGTGGATGACGTAATAAAACGTAATACCAAATTTGATTACTTCATTCTCATTGGATGGAAGGCGTAACCGCTACAGTAACTACAGCCATAACCAATAGACCAACTTTAGTATGAGGATACACTAACTTCAATGCTGTAGTATGAGAGACAAGAAAGTATTGACATACGTGCATTACCAATTGCCAAATGATATCACAAAAGTATCTTGCTCTATTGAGCTAAGCACGGAAATTACAGTCGAGACTTTGTAATCGCTTGGTGATACGTCTCGCTTGTAAGCGGCTCATAGTTGTCTTTCACTCGATTGAAAATCCAAAGACCGTCTGAAATGATAGATGGATCAATCCCCTCCTTCCGCAACTTGGCTTTCTCGTGCTTCATCGTTCCTGTGACTGACATGGTTTTCAACTTACGGAGGAAGAGCGGCATGGCATATGATGGCAACTGCTGCTTGACAAAGGCTGCAAAAGCCTTGAGGTCAAACGAATTTTCATCGAAAACCATCGCAGCCATGCACGCACGGCCATCACTACCTGGGACCTCAACGCCGTAAATACAAATTTCACTGAGCCCAGGGAACTTGGAGACAGCCTCGGCAACTTCATTTGTGGCTACATTCTCTCCTTTCCACCGAAACGTATCCCCCACGCGGTCTACGAAATGCCAGCAATGATTTTCATCTTCTTTGAACAGATCGCCCGTTCGAAAATACATGTCACCCTTCTTGAACACATCTGTCAGCACCTTTTTACTGGACTCTTTTGTGTTTCGGTAGTAGCCCTGGAATCTTCGTGCAGGATCCTTCTTATCGACCTTTACAATAAGCTCACCCGGTTCGTTGACCGCACATTTTTGAAGAAACCCTTTCTTCGATCGGATGTAGTCGTCCTTCTCGACATCATACTTAACGATTACGACACCAGTGAACATGTTAACGATGAAACCGCGACGACCAAGATGTCCTTGGTCGGCTTTTGTCGTGCAAGCATTCAACATACCCATTGGGCCCTCCGTAGAGCCATAAAATTCATACACCGACGGGACACCAAAGCGTTCTTGGAACGGCGCCCATACATCAGGGCGCAAGCCGTTGCCAAAAGCTGCCCGTATGTGATTCATTTTGTCGTTTACCTTTGCTGGTGCATTGAGCAAGTATCGGCACATCTCGCCAATATATTGAATCACTGTGCAGTCGTAAGCTCGGACTTCGGCCCAAAACTTGCTTGTCGAGAAACGTTGCGAAATGCACAAAGTAGCACCGGAGAATATCATCATCCCAACTGCCAGATTCCCACCCGATGTATGGTAGAGTGGCAGCGCACAATACAGTCTATCGTCCATGGACAAATGCATCGCGTATTTGAAGACCAAGGAGCGCGAAATGATGCTAAAGTGGTTCACCCGCGCAGCCTTGGGCAGTCCTGTCGTTCCGCTCGTGTAGATTAGTAGTGCCGTGTCTACCGTCGAGATCTTGGCGTTCTTGCGAATTAACTGCGGTGGTCGATCTGACTTCATCTTCTTTAGTTCCGCATCCAGTGGAAACGCTTGAGGCAGGTATGCAGCCGCCGCTTGAGCAGTCAATTCCCCTACAGAATGCGTAATGGCACATCGTCGTCAGCATCAATGATCCCAACCTCAAGAAAACGCCTCAGAAGCTCAACCATTGCCATAGATGAAGAAGTCAAGATGAGCCAATTTCGTCGCCACGTCCTCAAGTTTCCAGGCTAGTTCTTCGCCTACAATCATCCACTTGGTGTCTGCAATTGTGGTGCAATGAACAAGTCCGTCCGGCTGCAGGTGCGTGTTAAGCAGAGCTGTGACGACGCCAATCTTGGTCAGACCTAGCCATACAATGACAAACTCGGGTCGATTTTCCATGAGCAATGCTACCGTCTCACCCGTGTGAATGCCCTTTTGTAAACCCCAATGAGCGACACGATTAGCTGCTTCATCGACTTGCTGGAAGCTCAGTACGTACTGACCAAAGTGCATGCAGGATTTATACGGCCACTTATCTACGCTCTGTTCAAATAGATCTGGCAATAACATTTCATTGTATGCATGATACCTGGCTTCTAATAACGCTATGGCCAACCGATGTGAACGATACACATCCGAGGAGAGCAGTAACTTTTGATCCACGTAGTAACCAAACGCAGCGACGCTAGCAACGACAAGAAACTTGGATGGATCGCCAAATGGTAATGCAGCTAGTGTTTTCTCTACAAATGGTAAGGTGCGTATGGTTTGAGTGATGTTCGTCCAGGTGTTGGCCATGGAGAAGAAAAAAGCTAGAGAAGGCGTAGAATTAGACAGTGTGAGGGGTTTGGAGATGAGAGAGAGAGAGTGTGAAGATGGACGAAGAAGTGGTGTGTTGTTTGACTCGATGCTAGTATGGAAAATGACAAAGCAACATGATTAGAAGAAGACTCCTCTTGTTACTTTGATTTAAACCATTCAATATGATTCAAACTCTCGTCATTCGCAGGGGTTTTGCACACTAGTATTGTTTGCACGTAGAGCTACAAATCTTGTACAAAGTCACTGACTGACGAAGACGAAGATAGCATCACATCTAATGGCTATTGCATATAAAGACAAGTTAGCACTGGCAGTGATAGCTACAGCTGATATCACCCATCTACCTTCTTTACGCTTCATCCAGGATTGTCGTCTTGACGATACGGCTAGTCACCACATACGGGTCCATGTTGGACGCCGGGCGACGATCTTCGAAGTAGCCCTTGCCTTCGGCCTCCGCCACGCGAGGGATGCGGATTGATGCACCACGATTGGCGACGCCATACGAGAACGTGTCCATGCTGGCCGTCTCGTGGCGACCCGTGAGACGACGTTCGTTGCCCGTGCCATACGCTGCAATGTGCTCCTTGTGTTTGAGTTTCATCTTCTCAATAGCCTCAATGATCTGAGTCATTCCTCCCTCCTCACGCATTGCCTTTGTTGAGTAGTTTGTGTGACACCCAGCACCATTCCAGTCTCCTGGAATTGGTTTGGGGTCCCACGATACATTGACACCAAAGTCCTCGCATACACGCAGTAGAATATAACGAGACATCCACAAGTGATCACCTGACTCAATACCTGTGCATGGACCCACTTGATATTCCCACTGTCCAGGCATTACTTCCGCATTAATACCAGAGATATTAATACCAGCGTATAGTGAAGCACGATAATGGGCGTCCACAATCAAACGACCAAAAACAGAGTGAGCACCGGCACCACAGTAATATGGACCCTGTGGACCAGGAAAACCACCCTTGGGCCAGCCATATGGTGTCACACCGTCCTTTTCAAACAGTGTATACTCCTGTTCAATGCCAAACCATGGTACTTCCGCCTCAGCGGCTTCCATGACGCGAGCAGCATCAGCGCGTGTGTTATTGGCGATCGGTGTCATATCAGGCTTTAGACACTCACAAAGCACTAGAATGTGTTTTCCACGACGAAAGGGGTCCTTAAAGACAGCTACAGGACGCAATAAAACCTCGGAATCTTCACCAGGTGCTTGACCAGTGCTTGATCCATCAAAATTCCAGATTGGTAGATCAGCCAATGAATTTACTTCTTTGGTCAATGTCTTGGTCTTACAGCGTAGATCCTGACCTGAACCACCAATCCATACGTATTCAGCAAGTGTCGCATCACCTGTATCAAGACTCATGTATTGGTCATAGACACGACGGTCAAGGGGTTGACTCATAATGGAATGAAGAGGAGAAGAAGAAGACGCTAAAGAAGGTTCTGACTGCTGAAAGGTTAATTAGGAAATGACGATCTTTTGGAGTCAAGAAGATAAGGTTCAGATTTGAAAGAATTTGATTGGTGAATAATGTGTTTACTTCAAGTTAGGAACGATAATCATACGTGACAAAGCTTTTTACGTAAGCTTTGTTAATTAGGAGTGTTTGAAGTTTGGCGTTGCTACTTAAGAGTCAATTGTTTAATCAATAAATCACAGTGACGACGTATTGATGATGACGTAAGAAACCATTTTTTGCTTGATGCAGATTATGGATACTCAAAGCATGCTTTTAAACGCTCTTTATATGGTCCTGTCAGAGGACATCGTATTTTATTCGGAAGAAACTAGCCTTTAGAATATGTAACAAACAATATGGGCTCTCATGTGTAGGAAGTTTGTAGATTACACTGGTAAACAGCACAAACATTAGTCTTGGTTGAAGATGACGACGGCTCATTGTTGCGATGGTATCCAGTGGATGTAAGAGCTCGTTTTTGCGCTTCATGATTTGGCAGAGTGATCCCGGCCAAATGAAACCCGTCAGACGTGATGACTAAGCACTGCAACACTGCGTTGAATCCTTCGTAAATTCCTATATGAGGGTGTAAAACGTCAAGCCTATGACGGCACTACGTCACAATTGCAGCTAATGTGAGGCTACAATTCATTTTAATTTGGCCTTTCTTCATCCAATCTGCTGCGCCTCCAAACACATGACACGTCAGTATGGACTTCCTATGTCACATGATATGTGTACATAAACATTCCATCTCATGCCAACCAATGACAAAATTACACGCTTTACGCGTCAAGAGACTTGTTAAGTCATTAATTATTACAGGTACACAGAAGTATACATACAATACATCGAAGTCGGAGGACTACTACGGGTAGAACGATAACAGCGTACTAAAGTATCGCCTTACTTTTTTTTCCGTGCTGACTTTCTCGTTTTGTTCATTTGGTATTCTACCAACAACCTCAATGATTGGCACCACCGCGCAATGGTATCTGTTATTGTTAGGCATGTATGACTTTGCGTCATAGATTATATGATCTGTATCGATAATACAAGACGAAAGTCGAACATCGAAACAGCGGATGAATAAAACCCAGTAAACCCATTTGACTGAGATTTATTCGAATCAGATTCATCAACCTTGACAGGGGTGTAGAGCATAAAGATTGCAGGCTGCAGGGTGCCTACAAATATGGAGATTCCGGAAGCGTTTATAATACCCGACAGCTTCATCGTTTGTTAGCGTCGAGATCAATGCTGTTGAGCCAAGATTGGTCCCGACGACCGAGATATTCCTACGTCTGTATGCATATTAATTCTTAGAATACCCAAGCCCTTGATTTGTATTGACCGTAACGCAAACGTAAACAGGAGAGCAGACCTATTTCACAAAGTCGAGGCATTTTTGTCGATTACATTGATTTCCTGTATCAAGTACGTTTGTGTCCTCCATCCCAACGCAGTTGGTCCGTAGCAAGCTTTGATCTTCTCTATCTCTTAACATTGCTTAATTTGCATTAAACACCAGAGATCTAAGCTTCTTCTTCCTCTTCTTCTCTCTTCATTCCATTATGAGCCAACCCCTTGACCGTCGTGTCTATGACCAATACATGAGTCTTGATACAGGTGATGCGACACTTGCTGAATACGTATGGATTGGTGGTTCAGGTCAGGATCTACGCTGTAAGACCAAGACATTGACCAAAGAAGTAAATTCATTGGCTGATCTACCAATCTGGAATTTTGATGGATCAAGCACTGGTCAAGCACCTGGTGAAGATTCCGAGGTTTTATTGCGTCCTGTAGCTGTCTTTAAGGACCCCTTTCGTCGTGGAAAACACATTCTAGTGCTTTGTGAGTGTCTAAAGCCTGATATGACACCGATCGCCAATAACACACGCGCTGATGCTGCTCGCGTCATGGAAGCCGCTGAGGCGGAAGTACCATGGTTTGGCATTGAACAGGAGTATACACTGTTTGAAAAGGACGGTGTGACACCATATGGCTGGCCCAAGGGTGGTTTTCCTGGTCCACAGGGTCCATATTACTGTGGTGCCGGTGCTCACTCTGTTTTTGGTCGTTTGATTGTGGACGCCCATTATCGTGCTTCACTATACGCTGGTATTAATATCTCTGGTATTAATGCGGAAGTAATGCCTGGACAGTGGGAATATCAAGTGGGTCCATGCACAGGTATTGAGTCAGGTGATCACTTGTGGATGTCTCGTTACATTCTACTGCGTGTATGCGAGGACTTTGGTGTCAATGTATCGTGGGACCCCAAACCAATTCCAGGAGACTGGAATGGTGCTGGGTGTCACACAAACTACTCAACAAAGGCAATGCGTGAGGAGGGAGGAATGACTCAGATCATTGAGGCTATTGAGAAGATGAAACTCAAACACAAGGAGCACATTGCAGCGTATGGCACGGGCAACGAACGTCGTCTCACGGGTCGCCACGAGACGGCCAGCATGGACACGTTCTCGTATGGCGTCGCCAATCGTGGTGCATCAATCCGCATCCCTCGCGTGGCGGAGGCCGAAGGCAAGGGCTACTTCGAAGATCGTCGCCCGGCGTCCAACATGGACCCGTATGTGGTGACTAGCCGTATCGTCAAGACGACAATCCTGGATGAAGCGTAAAGAAGGTAGATGGGTGATATCAGCTGTAGCTATCACTGCCAGTGCTAACTTGTCTTTATATGCAGTAGCCATTAGATGTGATGCTATCTTCGTCTTCGTCAGTCAGTGACTTTGTACAAGATTTGTAGCTCTACGTGCAAACAATACTAGTGTGCAAAACCCCTGCGAATGACGAGAGTTTGAATCATATTGAATGGTTAAAATCAAAGTAACAAGAGGAGTCTTCTTCTAATCATGTTGCTTTGTCATTTTCCATGCTAGCATCGAGTCAAACAACACACCACTTCTTCGTCCATCTTCACACTCTCTCTCTCTCTCATCTCCAAACCCCTCACACTGTCTAATTCTACGCCTTCTCTAGCTTTTTTTCTACTCCATGGCCAACACCTGGACGAACATCACTCAAACCATACGCACCTTACCATTTGTAGAGAAAACACTAGCTGCATTACCATTTGGCGATCCATCCAAGTTTCTTGTCGTTGCTAGCGTCGCTGCGTTTGGTTACTACGTGGATCAAAAGTTACTGCTCTCCTCGGATGTGTATCGTTCACATCGGTTGGCCATAGCGTTATTAGAAGCCAGGTATCATGCATACAATGAAATGTTATTGCCAGATCTATTTGAACAGAGCGTAGATAAGTGGCCGTATAAATCCTGCATGCACTTTGGTCAGTACGTACTGAGCTTCCAGCAAGTCGATGAAGCAGCTAATCGTGTCGCTCATTGGGGTTTACAAAAGGGCATTCACACGGGTGAGACGGTAGCATTGCTCATGGAAAATCGACCCGAGTTTGTCATTGTATGGCTAGGTCTGACCAAGATTGGCGTCGTCACAGCTCTGCTTAACACGCACCTGCAGCCGGACGGACTTGTTCATTGCACCACAATTGCAGACACCAAGTGGATGATTGTAGGCGAAGAACTAGCCTGGAAACTTGAGGACGTGGCGACGAAATTGGCTCATCTTGACTTCTTCATCTATGGCAATGGTTGAGCTTCTGAGGCGTTTTCTTGAGGTTGGGATCATTGATGCTGACGACGATGTGCCATTACGCATTCTGTAGGGGAATTGACTGCTCAAGCGGCGGCTGCATACCTGCCTCAAGCGTTTCCACTGGATGCGGAACTAAAGAAGATGAAGTCAGATCGACCACCGCAGTTAATTCGCAAGAACGCCAAGATCTCGACGGTAGACACGGCACTACTAATCTACACGAGCGGAACGACAGGACTGCCCAAGGCTGCGCGGGTGAACCACTTTAGCATCATTTCGCGCTCCTTGGTCTTCAAATACGCGATGCATTTGTCCATGGACGATAGACTGTATTGTGCGCTGCCACTCTACCATACATCGGGTGGGAATCTGGCAGTTGGGATGATGATATTCTCCGGTGCTACTTTGTGCATTTCGCAACGTTTCTCGACAAGCAAGTTCTGGGCCGAAGTCCGAGCTTACGACTGCACAGTGATTCAATATATTGGCGAGATGTGCCGATACTTGCTCAATGCACCAGCAAAGGTAAACGACAAAATGAATCACATACGGGCAGCTTTTGGCAACGGCTTGCGCCCTGATGTATGGGCGCCGTTCCAAGAACGCTTTGGTGTCCCGTCAGTGTATGAATTTTATGGCTCTACGGAGGGCCCAATGGGTATGTTGAATGCTTGCACGACAAAAGCCGACCAGGGACATCTTGGTCGTCGCGGTTTCATCGTTAACATGTTCACTGGTGTCGTAATCGTTAAGTATGATGTCGAGAAGGACGACTACATCCGATCGAAGAAAGGGTTTCTTCAAAAATGTGCGGTCAACGAACCGGGTGAGCTTATTGTAAAGGTCGATAAGAAGGATCCTGCACGAAGATTCCAGGGCTACTACCGAAACACAAAAGAGTCCAGTAAAAAGGTGCTGACAGATGTGTTCAAGAAGGGTGACATGTATTTTCGAACGGGCGATCTGTTCAAAGAAGATGAAAATCATTGCTGGCATTTCGTAGACCGCGTGGGGGATACGTTTCGGTGGAAAGGAGAGAATGTAGCCACAAATGAAGTTGCCGAGGCTGTCTCCAAGTTCCCTGGGCTCAGTGAAATTTGTATTTACGGCGTTGAGGTCCCAGGTAGTGATGGCCGTGCGTGCATGGCTGCGATGGTTTTCGATGAAAATTCGTTTGACCTCAAGGCTTTTGCAGCCTTTGTCAAGCAGCAGTTGCCATCATATGCCATGCCGCTCTTCCTCCGTAAGTTGAAAACCATGTCAGTCACAGGAACGATGAAGCACGAGAAAGCCAAGTTGCGGAAGGAGGGGATTGATCCATCTATCATTTCAGACGGTCTTTGGATTTTCAATCGAGTGAAAGACAACTATGAGCCGCTTACAAGCGAGACGTATCACCAAGCGATTACAAAGTCTCGACTGTAATTTCCGTGCTTAGCTCAATAGAGCAAGATACTTTTGTGATATCATTTGGCAATTGGTAATGCACGTATGTCAATACTTTCTTGTCTCTCATACTACAGCATTGAAGTTAGTGTATCCTCATACTAAAGTTAGTGTCTATTGGTCTATTGGTTATGGCTGTAGTTACTGTAGCGGTTACGCCTTCCATCCAATGAGAATGAAGTAATCAAATTTGGTAGTACGTTTTATTACGTCATCCACTGTACAGCTATTGCGACATTACATATGCCGACACATCAACAGTTTGATATCTTAAATAAATGACGCCAAAGTGGAAGCGAGGAGCCAACGACAATGCAGTCACACATCCGTCCAGTAAACGATCAGCCATTGATCAGAACGATAGGGACTTTTCGGACCAAGAAGAAATTGATGCGGAGCTCTCAAGTATCAACAACTTGCTTGAAGAAGAAGAGACATCGCAGAAACGTAATTTATTTGCAATAGTTTTCACGTGGGCGTAAGTAATCTATCCATAGTATCCATTGATTTCTAAATATCGTGTGTGTGTTTCTATATTTGTTATAGAAACGTGGCAAATTGGCAAAAGGGTAAAAAAGTTATTGGAAAATCATGAAAACCTACCCATTTCCAAGGAATTAGATGCCTATTTTCTATGGGGTACAGCATTAACACGCCTTGCGTCCTTAAATGAAGACCCAATATTAGCAAATGCAGCTGTGGACAAGTTTGAACAGATGATACAATTAAATCATGACAAACAAGATACTGCTGAAGAAGATGCAATTGATGAAGCTTTAGGTCCTGTGGGTTTCTCACTCTGGGGCTCAGCATTGCTCATTATTGCAACCGAGACACTGAATGAGCAAGTTTTAGATCAAGCGCTTACAAAGTTGGAGCGAGCTATTCAAGTGGATGGAGGAACGACATTTGAAACGAGGTTTCAATTTGCAAAAGCATTGAAAGAAGGAGGTGAGTTAATGGCATTTCTTGCACCAAATGACGGTCGAAAGAGAAGGAATTACTATGCAAAAGCTTTACAAGTTTGTAGCACGTTGCAAGACATTTATTCAATCGAGTTAGAGAAAAATAAGGTACAAGAAGGGAGTGATGATGATGATCAGGTGACAAGTCAAGACTTTGCTCAAGTGAAGCTGCTGGAAGCAGTACTGCAAGGTCTACTTGAAGACTCTGGCAGTGTTGAGGATTTTTGTCGGACCATTACACTTTATCAGGAAGCTAGTGGTGAGTTTTGTTTGTTTGACATGCGATAGGTTTCATGTGATTGTTTATACTGACATGTATGGTTCGTTTTGGTCTCGTGACTATAAGTGCTAAGTCCTGAAAGTGCTGAGGCAGTGATGGAAAAGACTAATTATCTAGCTGCAAGGTGCTTAGCAAAAACTACTTTGGGCGCCAAACCCACGGTCCAAGAGTGGACCAAGCTGTTTGACAACCTGGAAGCAGAATACAAAAGCTTGTTGATTGCTGCTGGTTTCGATTTGATAGAATGTCATTATATCTGTCATCGTAAGGATACTCATAACCAAGAGGAGCTGGAAGACGAAGAAGTTGACGAAAGGGTGCCACATTTGCTTAACACGCTCGGGAAGGGTCTAGCAGCATTTGTGCGGTCCTTTCCACATTTAGATTACAACACCGGTCAACGACAGAAGAAAAAACAAAAGCGAAAGCGTCATGAGGTGGCTGGAAACGCCCGCTTCACGCATGCAGTTGAGGTATTACGCACTGCTCATCACTTCCACGACAAGCTCGGCAGTTATTACCTGGCTTGCTTGTATGCATCGCCGGCGTTCGAAGACGAAGCGGTAAGCTCAATTTAAGGTCTGGTCATTCCAACACGTCGCTAATGTAATATTGTGAGCTGTTGTAGCAATGTCGTATCTGGCTTGAAACTGCAGACAGCTATGGTGCTCTGGAAGATGAATTTGACGCACAAGAGTTTTCTACAATGCACAACAAGACGTGGTTCAAGCGCTTGACTGAGCCGGTAGTGCAACTAGAGGAAGTCGATGGGTAAATCATGACAATCACGAGGAGAACTCATGGTCATCGATAATGCTTGTTGATAGAAGAACAAAGCGGACAGCATGAGATGAATGTATTTAGGTTCGTTTGACATGTTCAACGCTCCGTATGAAGCAGCTTTTGCAAGAGTACGCCGTTCAACTAGCCATTTTTTTCACATCAGAAGCGGTATACTGTAGGAGGGACGAATGATGTTCAAAAGGCAAATGCAAGAACAGAGTAAGGCAAGGCAAAGATTCACTGCGTGTAACTGACGGTATAGCTAGCTACCCGGAGGGCAAGACCTAGTTGCGTCACAGCGTCAACAGCTTTGGATGGTCTTCGAAACATACACCACAGAAGTTTGTTGCTTTCTGGGACTGCTCTGCTCTAGTAAGCTATGCATCCTGCTAATCGTATCTCCGGCAGTCTTTGGACAAAGGTGATCACTTTCAGACTGATATGCTCTAGCTTCTTGTCTTGTTCGTTGTCGTGACAGATAATATCGATACATTACTATCTGGCTCACCCAGTTCATCGCAAAGAATGTACTCAAGGCGTACGACATGCTTTTGGTATTTCACGGTTGTCGATAAATACCTTGACTGTAACAGGCAAATAAATGTCAAAGATGACTCTCTTGAAAGTAGAGCTAGTCGGCTGTAGTAATCACTACCTCATGCAGGACGAACTGCTAGCTTTGTTGATATAATACTGTTTCAACACTCACAAACTCAGAATGCTGGAGCTGCCATCGGTAGTTGGACAGGTACTTGATAAGCTGTTACCTGCCGTAAGACAAAAGCAGCGAGTCTTTCAATACCCACCGACGACTGTGGCATGATGAAGTGAGGGAAGAGAGTGAAGACGTGAGGCATGTGCTCATGAACGTCCAATTCCACGTGCACACCACCAGATTGGGCGTTCTTGGCAAGTTGGAGTGATTGTTTGTGTAAAATGTCGAACTCTGCTGTCTGGATGAACAGCGGAGGTAGTCCACGTAAATCTGTCTGCAACATGGCACCTTCACACCACGAAGACCTCGGAGTTGTCTGGACACACAAGTCTCGGATAGCATCCAACATAGACTTGGAAATGTAGCAATACTCTGACACGACTACGTCGGACGACAAGTCTGCGTATGGACAACTGCACAATGCTGCAAGAGGCATCTCGCGTCCTGTTCGACGTAGTCTCAGTAGTGTAGCAAGCACCAAACCACCACCAGCGCTGTCACCAGCAATAATGATGTTTCGAGGTGAGACCTTTTCATGTTTCACAAGATAGTCAAACATGGCCATGGCATCATCTAGAGGCGTCGGAAAACAAACCTCAGGCAGCTTTCGATAGTTCGCCAGCAAGATCTGTACGTCCATGGAAGAATCAGACTCTTGACAAACAGCTCGAAGTTGGCTCTGGACCTGAGTAAGCAAACGATTGGCAAACTCGACGTAGAAGCGTGGACTAAATAAAGCGTAACCCCCACCGTGGTAGTACAGCATCACGATCCGTCTCTTGTTGTTTGTTGTCTTCTTGTTGTTGGATCTAGAACGTAACCACAGATGCTCAAGTCCGTTGTAACGGAAGCTCTCAAGTTCGTTGCCATGACGTAAGCATGCCCACGCCCCCATCAACCGTCCAATGAGTTCGAAATTGCGTCGGAATGCTAGCGCATTGGGCATCTTTAGAATGTGGCCACCGTTCCGTTGACCAGCAGCAAATGCGATGGCCTGGAACCATTCATACCAGATTGTCCACTCTAAGAACTTTGGGTGCAACCCTCGTCTGACGAACTGCAGTATGGCTACATTAGCTGCTGAACCAACATGAGCTGTCAAGATACAGACGTCCCTGAACGAGAGACAAAAGGGTCGAAGCAATTCGTGCACGGCCAACAGAAATACCAATTTCGTCAGCAGCACGACGTGTGCAAGTCCAAGGCATTGCAAGTGGCATGTATTGATCCACAGCGAAATGATCACTACCGTCACAAACACGGGCAGCGTGTAGGCGGCTTTGTAGCCGGAAACGCGACCGCATGTAAACTTGTGAGCGTGCTGTCGGACGTATTTCATGAAGATGGAGACTCACTCGTGTGTAGATCGATCAAAGTTAATTATAAAGTGAGCGACTAAAGATCGCTGACCTCAAGAGACGTTGGTGGTGATTCCCTCTCAAGATGAGCTGGCACATCAAAGTGACGACATGACAGATCAGCTCGGTAGCTTCTGAGCAATGCTTTGTACCTTTTACCGTTAGTTGCGCTTCCATTTCAGGTGCATGTTCGAAATTTTACGCTTTCGATCGTCGGTGGTCTTTGTTGTTGCGGTTTTGTGGAGACACGCATGATGGTAACCATCAGTGAGTGGGAGGGTGTGCATACATAGAACTTGTCGAAGCGAAATGGTCACCTCGTTTAGAAGTTGACGTGTCTGTTTGACAGGGTGAGGAATGCCGTTTGGTCTTGCTCATCCGTGGGTATCAGTATTCACAACTGAAACAAAACTGACTTGAGCTGTGCACAGTAACACGAGAGCAATGAGTGGAATCTGTCGACTTCTCATGTCCTGGATGAATCTTCTTGTCATCCAATTCAACATTTCAACGTGGAACACACTTTATTTGACATCAATTTCTTCCGTGAATACAAGTCGCACTTTGCACGACTTGAACACCAAAGCATCGTTCATGTACATGACGGTGGGACTCTTGATGTATTTCTACTGATGGGTTTGATGACCCTAGTTTGGCTTGTCTGTGGTAACTCGATCTTGGCCGTGTTTCATTCGTAGGTCATTCGAAAGCGTGCAGTTAATGTGCCAGCATCTCGTCGTCGGCCTTTTTGTCGTCGGCCTTTTTGTCGTCGGGACTTTCTACTTGGTTTGATCACATGTAGGATGTTTATCTCGTGAGATTGCTTGTCGATCGCGTTTGACTGCTTCAGGTTTGATTGAGAAGAATGGGATCAAGGTTAGGAAGTTATGAGCTTTTTGACACTGGTAGCAAAAGCAGATAGCTGAGAACTAGTTTTCAAACGACATTTCACGTTGTTTTGTCAACTCATTCAACATGATCACTGTAAACTTACAAGTATGTAAACCGCCGGTCTCACATACATTTCGCTCGCTTTTGTCTGCGCTATGGCTTGCAAGTCTCTGCACTTTGCTGTACATTGAGAATTCATATCACTCGCTCGCTACTTTGTTTCACTTACAGGTCCTACGGCACAATTCAATGGAAGAGTGTGATTCACTGCATCACACTTACCATTGTTTTACTGCCAATGCTAGTAGAAAAGGCGGCGCTTGAATTTCTTTCGCGAGCTCGAGCGAGTGTTTGGTCTCATGCAGCTAACGATGCAAGTTCCAGATGGTAATGTTGTTGTTGTGGTCTTGTCAGAGCAATTGAGACCGCGAGTACGACGCTTACGAGGAGTAGTCACTGCGTGTCGTACAGCATGAGATCCAAGTTGACCCCTGCTTCTGCTTCTAGTGGTTATCGTTTGAGCTTCGTCCAATACACTGCACTTCGATACCAGCTCTGGGTCTGGTGTCGCAATATCTGGATGTGAAGGAAACTCGGATATCACGCTTAGCACAAATGGTGTCAATTGAAATGCCGCTCCATTGTCCTCGTTTGGCTGAGGTGGACTTGTTATCTGTAGATCCATGTTGTCAAAAAAGTACTGGCCATCCACATCTAGCTCGAGTTCCAACAAGTCGCTGTCATAGCTAGTCAAGTAGCTGCAGATCCATTCATAGCCATCTCCAGTGGCTGTCTCGCTGGAGCGACTTCGCCAGCACATTTTTGCCGTGTTCGTGCTGAAGTCACTCGGTTTCCAGGAATTGAATCAGACTTTGGACACACCAGAGTGTTTTTACAATGGATTGCTGCTGCAGTAAAACACCGTCACAAGTCGGAAAGTGCATCACATGTGAGGCTTTGACGTACATCATGTTGTGGCGCTTATATCTTGTGCTAAACAAGAAAGTGCTGCACATGGTCTTTCACTCCCCTTTGTACACTCTATGGTTCTATCGGAGACCAGGCTGACCCATTCCGTCGTGTCTACTTTCCATCTTTATTGCACGAAACGCTGCTTTCCATCAAAAGCTTCAATGTTTATACTACGTCCGTGCATCTATTACAAACACGTTCTGACGTTCCGCTACTTCTTCATTAGATGTGCGGTACCAAAACACGATCGCATAAACCTTACCTACTACACCGTAAGTCTGCATAGAGGCGGGGCACATTTTTAGGTTTGACTTTACCACACGTTTTCCAAGAGTCTTCAAGCTTGTCTGTCTATTTCAGTCCTAGTCTTGGTCACGGAATCTCATAATGAGCGATCAGACCATGCTTCCTCGATCAATTGAGTTCTAGTCAACAATACTAAGCACTATCTGAGTGCAAGACGTGTAAACTCCATACCAAACTGCTGAAAACCAATGTAGTGCTCAAGACACTTCCATATGCACTGTTGTATTCATCTTGTTTGCCCGACAACTTATTGAAGTCTCTCTCTACGTATCCCACCACACCACCTCTATTCATCCTTCATCTTCGACGAGGCATCACCGTACGTTTCGCGAAGCTTTTTCAAACGTTCCTCAGTCTCGCGTGATTTCTCTGCAGACGGCGAACTGCTACGAGGGTCACCCTTTGACATGCCTGGCTGAACCACAACCACCTCACCTCGTTTTGCCGGGCTGCGTGAACGCTTCCTTATCGTCCAGCGATCCAGTTTAAGGGACAGCGAGCCCTTGTAGCTAGCTGGTCTTGATGCATAATCACGTCCGACAGCCTCAGCCTTGCGCCGTTCTCGCTCTCGTACCTGCTGTAGCAAATCCCCGGTAATATCGCTGCCGCTGTATCATAGAATACCAAATACCACCAGCGTTAATGAAAAACAAACACGACGCAACGCGGGAATCTACAACAAACGCACCCTGTCTTGCTTCGTGAGTGGCTGCGACTGCGACTATGGCTAAGATTGCGACGACGATCACGGTCCCTAGAAGGGGATCGCGACTTGCTGCGGGATCGTAGGCGCGCACGCGACCTCTTTGAGCAATCACGACGGCTACCACGGCGCCGGTCACTATCGTGTCGACTGTCACGATCCCGGCTTCGATTTCGACGACGACCTCCATCACGGCCTCGCGAACGCGAACGAGACCGCCCGGTCGATCGAGAACGAGATAGAGAGCGTCCACGGCGTTGTTTACCCTTATCAAATTCGATATCGCCAAGGCTAACTTTTTCCGTGTTTCCATAAGCCGGGAACGAGACCTGGTAGACGATAGTAAGGTCCGGTTAGCTATTACACCCTGGTATATAGTACTTCATCTACCCAGCCTTACCCAGAATTGATTGCCTTCTTCCACCGAATCAATTACTGCATCATACATCTACAAACGTTTGTATACATAAGTCAGACCATATATTACTACATCAATCATTCAAAAGCGATCAAATGCAGCTCACCGCAGGTTCGTTCTCTTCGTCAGCGTACATCGCACGAATTTTAGTCCCAGCCTGCAGACAATCAACGATCGCCAAGTTTTCTTTTGCGCGCTCTTTCTTACGAGAGAATAACAAGAGCTAGCGTAACATACACATAACCCAATAAAATCGTCAGAGGGTTTACAATACTACCTCACTACTTCTTCGCACAACAGAACTGATGAACGCAACCTCCGCTGAACAATGAGATACGTCTCTTCTCAAAACCCCGCTGCACTCTATTCATTCACGTACACGGCAACAAACTTACCTTAACTTTGATCCCATCCTCGATCTTTTTCGGAATACGTGGAAGAATTGTGCCAAAATAGTTGTTCTCTTCGAGCAATTTAACAAGCCACTCTCCAATGGTTCTACAATATCGACATCAAAACGACCAATTTACACTCAGCACTCCACTTCAACGACTGCTTGCTACAAAGTGCAAAACAAAGTCACAATATAGCACCAGCAGCCTCTCTTACCACCTAACGGCATAGAAACTCCCAACTCACGTTTTTATGCTCGGATTTGCCGATGCATTGAATTCTTCCAAGTCTTCCAAGTATGGTTCAAACCATGTCCAGAGCTCTTCTGGATCACAAGTAAATCGAAGGTACAAGAAGCCAATCACTCGAATATATGGTGAATCCTACATTACGAATAACAATAATCCATTAGAACAAAAAGCTTATTTTAATAGCAATTGAATCCCCTCCTTCTCCTCCTTCTCCTCAGTTCTCTCTTTCACCTTGTGTCGTAATAAACCTTGCATTTGTTTCACTGTAAGTCGCATGAGAAAGAATTTATGTAGCAAACAAAAACAACTTGATGGAATACGTGCTGTGCCTGGAGACCATGGTTCTATATCATTATACACACACAAATAAAGAGAGCCAAGAGACATATAGACAAATTGATTACTACATGATCAACCTTCTCACTTGTGAGTCAATAGACAAAGAACCAAGTCAAAAACCTCATTCGCACCGGCATGATCAACACGGTAATAAATCTCATCCACTACTTCATGATACGTTCGAAACTTGTATAATTCATGAAAATATGCAGATTGTAATATGTTTTGGTGTAATAATGTGTTTAAATTGTACGTGGTTTGGTTGCCATAGCTATACAAAAAGTAGGACAAGTATGATCAGGATTTATGACTTATTTTAGGATATAGGATATAGTACACAAGGACATTTCAACACGTACATAGATAGCTCATCCTGCTTTACATGACGTTCAGTTTCTTCAGGTGGTTGATCCTGTACATTTTGTCCACGGAGAGACTTTTGTAGCGCATGTCGAGTGAGCGCGGAGCGAGACATGGAACGGTGGCGGATTCTAGACGAAGATGGAGAAGGAACAAAAGATAGTGTGACTTACACTAATCATTTATCTTAATATCCTAGTTATAAAATGACGTGCGACCCTCTTTTATGTCGTTTGAACGTTTCAAAAGCATAACATGGACAAATATAGAATAAAAATGTACATAAGTGGGTGCATTATTATAATACCAAACGATGTAACGTGCAAAAAGGCCGTCATGAAGACTTGTCGACGGATGAATGATGCAAATATTTGTCGTCCTTGTTATAATTGCAACCTATCTCTAATAATTTAACTGTAGAACAAGAAAGAGCAATAGGATAAACAAATATCACCTTACCTGCTGTCTCTAGTCCTTCGATACGGGTAGTAGCTTTTGTGTATCTGCTTCATTCGCAGCCATGAACCAGTTGGTGCTTTCCCCCCAAATTTAACAGCTTTTTAATGCGGCCAGCCACATGGACGCATCATCATGCTCTTCCGCGTAGACGTAAATCTCCTTATTGTTACTTAAACGGATGCAAATACCGTTCGGATGACCGCTCCATGGCACAGCCGTCAGTACTTCGACTGACTTACTACATCCCTGTAAATCCGAGCTCCGATGCATTCGTTTACGTCGGACGGAGAGGCGGCCATCTGCTAGTGTCACGAAGCGTTTCTTCCAACCGGGCAAAAGCCCTCCTCGCACGTACAAATAGCCCTGCATGTCGCAAACCTGTTCGTCGTCTTCGTCTTCATCGCTTAGTACGCTCAGTGCCGTTGTAAAAGGGGAATCACCTTCTGTCTGGTATGAGTGTTGAAGTGATAGGTCGCTTGCCATTGTTCCACGCAGTGGCATCCGTCCCATCATCTCGCCTCGCATCTGTGGCGCCTCTTTAAGCACTTCAAGCCACTGTGCACGAGATTCCTGATCTCCTGCCTGCACATAGAGCACACGTCCACTGGAGCTAGTAATTTTGAGACCAAAACTTGTCAAATTAGAGGCTTCCGCGTTAGCAACTCGCAATCCTCCCCTCACGGGCAAATCAAGACATCGGGTGCCTCCACCCAAGACACCCGATGCAATCACACAGCATTGCGTGTAATACGTCAATACGGCACCGTTTAGCAAAAAGAAACGCTTTTTCCACGTCTTAAAGGACTGACCGCGTTTCCAGAGCCAACCATAAAACACAGAGCCCTTAAGGTCCTGCGTTGGAATGTTCATCATCGTAAGACGATCAGTAAGCGAGTTAGATCCTGCCATTGACGAGGACGACGACTGCGTTCGTGACATTGGAGAGCTAGTCAGTTTACGCTTGCTGCTTCTAAAGCTGAAGCGCTGGCTACTGCGCATACTTGGGTGAGTTTCAGGCGTCACGGGGGACACGTTGTTGTCACCTAGGATGGGGAACTCGGAAGTGTTACAATCTGCAAAATTGTCGCTGCTGCTACTACTGTGATTCATCATCATGCGATAGGCAAGGCCCGACCGAGGGGATTTGCTCTGTGTATGCTTGAAGGAATGAGGCTCCTTAGTCGAAGCCGTGAGCGTAATTTTACGGTATTGTAATTGCAGCTTAGCTGAGAACTGATGAATGAAAAAAGACACTACGACCATCGGCCGTTTTGTGAACAGCTTAGAGCAAGTTTGCTGCACATGATCCCACTATGGAAAATTATAGTATTAGTTTGAACTTTTCCGCGAAAAAGCGAAGCAAAATAACAGTAGCTTACAACCAAACATGAAAATTGAAGCTACAAGACCACTTGTAATAGCAAGAAACAACTAGTAGACAGCGAGACTGTTTTATACACACAAGACTAGCACTATCCTCTTCAACTCGTCATGAATTGCCACGTCAAGCGGCAGTAACAAGCACTCGTTCATTGTGTCGTCAAAGATGCAGTTACTCAAGTTCAGCACTGAAAAAATGTTTCATCTAAACACTCAAACGCATCGCTTTGCCAACCAGCACAAAGCAGTCTCATGATTCAATGGATCTTTTCAGTCAACAGCATTGAATTCAAACTTGTCGATTGGCGATAAGTTCCTTCCCGATTGTTAGCATTCAGACACAAAGAGCCCGTTTGCGTCACGCAAAGGCCGATATTGCAGCCGGCGGTTCTTCCCATGACATAGTCCCGAGAGCAGCCAGCAATCGTCATAGATAAATTATTGCCAAGGTAGTGGTCTTCATGGATGACTTGTTCCCGTTACTGCTGGAGTCAAATGAAACCTTTTGACCCCATTTCGCAATTTTTCAACATCTTGTGATATTTGCTGCAGACGAGACGTTATTGAACTTCAGTCAGTAAGGTCAACATGCTCACGTGTCGCAAGTCACACACCTCACAAACGCATGGCCGTTGGATTTTTTCACCTGTTACTCGCGGCTATGTTATGGCTACAAACAAGCGATGGATTTATAATTAGCAGACTAAGGTTATGGTACAACAAACTTATTCAACTTGTGCGTGAACGTCTATATCAATCGATTAATGGGTCTTGTAAAGCATTATTCATGCTTGTATACGTGCGTGTAAGCTCCATAGGTGGTATCTTCATGCAGGTTTTTACATGTGTATAGACAATACATTTTTTCTTAGCTTGGGAGAGGGTCAAATGGTTTCTACACCCTAACAAACCCACAGCAAGGTTGGACTATCGAGAAGATATTTGAAATGATTCTCGTCGAAATCAAGTCGTCTGACTGGTGAAACAATGTTCTTATATGAGAGCATCTATATGAGAGAGCATACAAATAGAGCAGTAATGTGCCTTCAATGTAAGTAACGCCCTTATTTGTATCAACGTACTACAGTGATTTAAAATAGCACAAGAACCAAACCAGCATTCGTTTATCGTCGGAGCATTTCAACAAAACGATGATATTTAGTGTCACCTTTACTCCTTGAAAGCAAAAGCTTCTTCTTAGCATATCGACCATTTCCATCGTAATGCAGCTTTCTTGAGTTACTCACATCTTGGAAGGGTTGCGAAAGTGTTTGCCGGCGTACTTGGCGTCACTACCCAGAGCTTCTTCAATACGTAGCAGCTGGTTGTACTTGGCGAGACGCTCCGAGCGGCATGGAGCACCTGTCTTGATCTGACCCGTGGCCAGACCCACAGCTAGATCAGCAATGCACGAATCCTCGGTCTCACCGCTGCGGTGCGACGTCATGACGCCCCAGCCGTTCTTCTGCGCAAGTGCCACGGCGTCCACGCTCTCGGTGACGCTACCGATCTGGTTTACCTTGAGCAGCAGCGCATTGCAAGCCTTCTTGTCAAGAGCGGTAGCAATGCGCTTGGGGTTGGTACATAGCAAGTCGTCACCCACGACCTGAACCTTTCCACCAATGGCGTTAGTAAAGGACGAGTAGTGCGTCCAGTCGTCCTGGTCAAAAGGGTCTTCGATGCTGATGATTGGGAACTCTTTTGCCAGATCCTTGTATAACTGGCCTAGCTCGTCACCAGAGAGCAATTCTGTAGATCCTTCCGTCTTAAAGTCCAAGTCGTACTTGCCGTCCTTTGTCAGAAACTCGGACGAAGCGACGTCCATGCCAATACCGATCTTGCCATCGTAGCCAGCACGGTTAATGGCCGTCATCAAGAGTTCTACACCCTCGCGGTTGCTTTGGATGTTGGGAGCAAAACCACCTTCGTCGCCGACGTTCGTGGCGTCTTGGCCATATTTCTTCTTAATGACGCTCTTGAGTTGGTGGTACACCTCACAACCCATGACCATGGCCTCCGAAAAGCTTTCAGCGCCCGTGGGCAAGAGCATAAACTCTTGAAACGCCAGCTTGTTGCCAGCGTGCGATCCGCCATTGATAACGTTAAAGCTGGGCACAGGCAGTATCAAGTTTTTGTTGCCGATCATGTCGGCAAAGTGTTGATAGAGTGGAACACCCATAGCAGCGGCACCGGCCTTGGCCACAGCGAGTGACACGCCTAGGATAGCGTTTGCACCAAGCTTTCCCTTGTTCTCCGTGCCGTCAATCTTGCGCATGAGATCGTCAATGTCACGCTGTTTCGTTGGGTCCTCGCCAATGAGCTTTGGGGCGAGCACACTCTTGACATTTTGCACGGCCTGCTGTACACCTTTGCCAGCATATCGCTTACCACCATCACGTAGTTCTACGGCCTCGTGAATACCTGTGGAAGCACCTGAGGGCACCGACGCACGGAAGATCTCGGAACTGGTTGACAGCGTCAGATCTACCTCCACTGTCGGATTTCCACGACTATCAATAATCTCACGCGCATGAATGGACTGGATAGTGCTGGCATTGCGGGTAGCATTAACAGTGGTTAAGGCTGCACGACGTAGAGGAGCAGACACATGGACAAACATGAGAGCTGAAGGAAGGAAGATAGGAATGTAAGGCTAATACGTGTCTTAAGGAGGAGGAGGACCTTGGAACAACTGGTCAAATGAGTGACAAGTGGAGCTTAATACTTGATGAGGTAAACCAAATAAGATTATGGATGACAGTTTATTTGTTTTGAAAAACATTGTTAACAGAGTTATGATCGACAGATTTTGTGTTTATTAGGAAAAGAATATTTATATACAAAAGAAGTTTGAGGAGAGAGAGATATTATAAATAAAAGGTCGTAGTAGCATAATATGAGACGATGTGCAGTTTTGGAGCCAATGCTGGTGAAAGACACTCATTGCTCTAAGTAAGCAGCTTCTATTTAGTGCATGACATCTTAACATATGGCAGTCTTTCTTACAGGTGAGACAAATACTTGATATTGCCTTCGAAATGGAATGGAGCTATGATTCTGCTAGGTTAGTCAAAGTACTGAGAGATTATGCAGCACTGTCTTGTT